TACTACAAATAACACTAATTATCAGATACTGATTTAATGTATGCCAGAAGTCTTTAAAATTCGCTATACAACAGACCTTATATAATGTATCTATTAATTTTCCCAATACCAGATTCTGTGTTTTGCTGTGGCATTTTATGCTCTTAAATCATTAAGAGCTGTAGTAGGCTAAGATCTGAATTATTTAAAAGGTTAAACATCAGTTTATACTTTTAGCTCCTCTACCGTTTCAAGGCACATGATAATGACAAATCTGTCATCCTCTGAGAAGTGATGTTGAGCAGAAAGAGTCTCTCCTTTTAATATTTACAGAGATACAGAATCATTCCATTTTAAAGAACTGTAGTAGTCAGGTCCTATAACAAGTAAAGTAAGGACTTGTACATTACAGGAACCAGGAATTGCTCATCTAGAGTATCCAGTAAGCATTCTAGAGTATTGGTGCCTTAATCCAATACCAGGAGGCACTTGGAGTAAATATTTTTCATGCACTTTGATTTTGTTTGATAGATCTTTCTGGTGCCTCTTTTCCCCCATATTTCACATGCTGTACAACTTACTAAATGTATTATATGCCTTTTTTTCTTGCTAGTTGACTTAAATTTGAGAAGGGAACAAAACAGTTCTTGTAAGCTTTGTGCCAAATATGCTAAATAAAACTGCTCTTTGATATTTTTGTTGTGTTTGTTTATTTTGCAAAATACTTTATTTTAGATTTTGAAAACTATTGCTCCATATTTGGGTTCAGATTTTTGCACTGTTTGGGCCTTAAAAGAACATTGCAGAGATTAGTCTCCAAAGTTGGGTTTAATGTTTTTAAAAATCACGAAGTGACTGACTTGCTATTTATGTAAAGAAGCTAGTGTCTGGCTAAGGTTGAAACTAGATTACCATTAAAAGTTCATTTTTGGCCCCACCCTATCTTTTGATAGAATGGAGCCATGTGAGTTTCATATGTACCGTTCCCTTACTCAAGGAAAAACTTTTTTGGAAAGGTTTAATCAAATCTGACAAAACTTGGAAGAGACAAAAGTGTAAAAATTAAACTGGGGTCAATTTCTGTCACATTTTTCCTACCTTGGCTTAGAAACTCCATATTTGTTGGTCTTGGCAACTACTGGTGGCTTTGCCAAATTTTGGAGGGGACATTCTCTTTTTAACGGCAGTTTCCATGTTGCTAATAAGGTCCACATAACAAGTGCACTTTAGAAAATGCATACTTTGTGAAGTATGCACGGCCATGATGCAGTCTGCAGAACCCACAAAATACAGTTCTGAAATCCCTGCCCTTGGCTTAATTCTTAAATTGTCCGCAGTTACAAAACTATTAGCAGAACAGACCAAAATGCTGCTCTAATGAAGTGTCTGTATAGACCAGTGGTTCTAAACCTATTTATCGTTGTGATCTGCATCTGCAGCTCTCTGTGCGTTATGTGGGTCGCATCCACACAATATATATACTCCCTGTATGGCCTTGAGGCTGTCACATAGGCTGCAGCTGTGTGCTGATTGGGCCGCAAGCAGGTCACAGGAAGAGATTCGCCAGTGTAGACTATATGTTCTTGCATGGTCAGTTTTGATGGGACAGTTGCCAACCCCTCTTGAATATTGCTGGAGGTCTTGGCCACTTACATGTGGCAGGAAGCATTAACCAGCATTGTCATTGCCATCTCCAGCACACCATGCCGGGACTCAGGAATTCTCCACTGTGCCATTCACTACTACTTTCTGATCCTGAAAGATCGTCATCCCAGATAGAGGCATCTCCATAGTTGTGTATTGATAAGTTCCAGAGACGTGAACCCAAGTTTCCTACTTTACCTCTTCCAGCTAATCTCTCCTACCTCTTTTTTAGCGGTCTCTCTCTTGCTTTCTCTCTTATTTGAGTGTCCAGCTGATCTGGTAAAGACAGAATTAACATTGCAATTCTTTGCTAGGACCAGTTTGGCAAGCAACAAGCAAATTTTGGCACCCTAGTCGGTGATGAAAAATTTGCCTCCAGCAGACTAGCCAAAGGAAAAAAGGACAATTTAGCCAAATGTTTTCCAGAGCCAATGTAGTCCCAGAATTGGTAACGGGGTTGTGCACTCTGCCTAAGGTCTTCCAGCAACTGAAGTGCAACCCAGAAACAAGATGCATTCTACCTTTGGCTATGCTATTTTCTTCTCCTTTTCCATGTGTTTGGTTTTGTTATTACAGATTTTGATTTTTTATTTCATTCAAAGAGCTCAGACCTACAGTCATGTTTTGGGCTGCAGTCTAGACCAAGGAGAGGTTCTCACCACGTGCTCTAGTCCTGGGTGCCTTAAATGCTCTGCTGCTTTGGCTCATAGCATGATACCAACAGCCAGAAGACCAGAATGCTGTTCCCTGCATGTCTGTGTAGTGTTCAGCAAGCAAATAAAATAGAAATACGCTTTCTAATGACTGACTTAATAAGCTACTGCCTTGGTTCAACGTAGATTTCGTACCAATCTTTTTTTCTTCCCAGCCATGGCTGTTGTTCTCTGTCAGCACCTTCCATAGACTTACGAAGTGCTGGTTTCCCTTGTCTTCCTAGGGAAGATCTTTGCCTAAACTGGGAACTGAATATAGGTGAGAAACTTGAGACTTCAAACCCCCTGGCTGAAGGACTCATCTTTCTCAGCTTGCAAGATTTCTGGCCTGCTGTGTCTATCCAGTGATGGATGCCAATAGGCTTCTTTCTCCTTCGATCTTACCAAACTCACTGTTTAGTCCCCAGACCCAGGATGACCTCATGCTGTTCTTCCCTTTCTGTGGGTTTCCCGACCCCTGCTGATTCGTATGTAAATTGGGCTTCCATTCATTGTTTTGATTCCCCAGTGCTACCTTCTCTCCTGCCTGGGAGAAAACCTGCTTCTTCCTTTGTTTAGTCACAGACTTGAAAGCATAATATCTCCTTTAGCTCAAGTAGCAAAAGCTTGTGTGTTTGTAGCTGACCCACCAAGTTTCTAGTCTCCGCTCCACAAGGGCACTTTTGTAATGTAGTATTGGGTCCGTTGTCTACGTTGCAGCTGTCGGACCAAACTGCTCCATCATCAACATCTTCCGGTGCTGTCAGGTGCATGACATCTATCACGGAAATGCGTTACAATGTTTCCTTCTACTTATAAGTTCTCTGATCAGCTCTGTTTTAAAAAAATATATATATATATATATATATATTTTCAATTTGCATCCTTTCTCAATACTTGGGTGAGGTAATTGGGGGTGCATTTCTCCACGGACTCTTTACCATCACTCGGTTTTATTGCTAACTTCAGAGGAAATAGAGCCCTTGGCTGTCTCCATATTTGACCATTTTTAAATTGCACAATATGCCCAAACAGCCTGGCCTTGATGAAGTCTCCCTACCATTGTGATGTATTTCTTTTGTTAGGAGTCCTTTTTCATGGCTGGGCATGCAAAATATCAACTCTATTGCCATTGTGTTTCAATGTCTTGCCTTCCATTTGATTGTGTGTGTGTGTGTGTGTGTGTGTGTCCACTTGATGAAGGATGTTGAAAAACTGAGGTGGGTCAGAAAAGAGCGAGATAATTATAAAAGCTTAATTACTACATGATCAGAAAAATTCCTTGGTTTTCCTCTTCATAGTGGTGGTGCAGTGGTCTGAATCTCATCAACCCTGCATTGGTGATGTCCTGAGATAAGAGAAGTCTTCTTAGAAGTGCTATTTGATATCCGACCAGAAGGAAGGAAATATTAATTTTATTGGCGGTGCCCAGGGACCTCAGTCATGGGTCAGGGCCCCATTGTGCTAGGTCCTGCACAAACATAACAAAAACACAATACTACCCCCCAAGAATTTACACCCATGAGGTATCGAGCTTCATTTTGACATCTTCTCAGGCTGTTGCATCTTTGCCTCTTTCCAATCCATCTTAATCAAAGCCATATATTGTATGTTAGATGGTGACCCTTGTCCTTTAGAGCCAAAGAATACTGTCTGGGAAGTCTACCATTATCAAGTGCTTTCATGGCTTTTTCTCTACTCCTTCCAGGTCTGAGGTGTTTTTCTTGGACGGGCACTAAACTAGCAGTGATATCACTTATGTGGTTGTATTATATGTTTGCATTCCGGTAGTACCCAAAGGTCCCAGTCAAACTGTAAGCACCGTGCAAACACATAGTAAGAAACAGGTGCTGCTTTACAGAGCTTACAAGCTAAATACACCAGACCAACAAAAGGGGACGAGAGGCAGAGAGGTAACAAGATGTGCTCACAGTCACAGAGCAGAGGCAGAGCCAGGAATAGAATCTATGACTTCTAAAATATAGCACATTAACTCCTAATTTAGTGGCTTATTCCTTAGACCACCCTGCCTCGTGATAGTGGAAGGAGTGATTGTCATAAATACTCTGGACACAAGTTGGTTTAAACGTTCATCATAATTAAGGAGAAAAAGGGTCTGGCCTTGGGCTTATGGCACAGGATTGGGAGCAGGGGTTCCAGTTCTAGCTCTGCCACTGACTCCCTGCATGTCTCACCTCCATTAGAAACAACAGGGGATGCCTGCCAGGAGCTGAAGTGACTGATCCCTACGCTTAGAATTTTTCAAAACTGAGCATACATGGTGAGCGCTGTGGGCCAGGGCCTGTGTGTCAATGAGGGTGAGGACCGTGCCTAACATACCAGAATGCAAACAGCAATAGTAGCTGGTTCCAGCTTCATTTACAATTATAGCTGTGTTTGAAGCTGGTGTGGAGATGAGCACAATCTCTTTAAAAGAATTTTGCTCAACGCTGGTAAGATTTGGGGGTGGCAAACTCTAGCAACTGATTAAATGAGCAGCAGAACTGTCAGTCTGCAATACTGCATTTTTTTTAAACAGAACCTGCTTGAACCTGGGATGGGGGATGAAGCTGCATCTATCTTGATGGGCTTCAGAACTCAGGATAAAGCCCAGAGCCTGAGCATGCAAACGCTCCTGTGACTAGTCCCATGGATCCAGCAGGACAACTTGTATGAGTAATTTTATTAAGATAATGTTGAAGTAAAAAGAAAACGGTACAGAGTTTAAGCATACAAGTTTCTGGTTATCAGGGAATAAGGTACAGATTATCAAAGGGTGCGAAATTCGGTTTAGGAACGAGTGGCGTAAGGAATACATAATCTGCAATCTCCCCGGTTGGAGGTAAAAGTTTAACGGGTCAAAGTACAGACACTGAGATATGGGGGTATGTTGTCCATATAATGGCTATGTTCAGGTGTGGAATATAATGAGTGGATACGACGATGGAGATGGATCTACCCTCATTTGGTGGGATTTAATGTTCAGTGAGTTTATGGTTCCAGTTCATATGGTCCAATGGAAAAAATCTCTCAGTCCCTTTCCCATAGTTGATGCACGATGTTGTACCGGCTCACCCCTCCTGGTACTGTCGGTGGCTGGTGATGTGTTCGATGTACTAGCTCACAGACCAGTTACAGGATTCACCCCATTAATTCAGTGAGCTGCGATGATCATCTTGTTTACTTACAGTAAACGTTTTGACAGACAAATGGGTTTCTTTACATATCCTGGCATATGGTGAAAACAATCACACTCGCTTTAGAAAATAGCTGCATATAAATGAAAGTCAATAATCTACTTCTATTTAGCATTCTGGTAAAGTTCACTGTGCACATATGGAATTAATGTAGCAAAAAGAAAAATACAATTTAGCTCGCCCTCTTGTGTCTCTAAAAAGTAATTCAGATTGGGCTAATGTGAACTATACACACCATGGAGACAAATACTGCAGCCATTCACACTGTCTATAGCAGTCATACAAATATTCAGTTTCCATTCTGATAATGTTCTCTAGAGAGCATTTTAAATATAAAGAAGTACTGTATGTGACTGTAGTAATGAACTCAAAATATCACTGATTAATTTCATTGACTTCAATGTAGTTTTCTGCAAATTAATTGGATGCAGTGTGTTTTAGAATGATTGTATGTAACCCACCAATCTTGGCTCTCAGATGTGTGTGCAGTTTCCATTGACACAGTGGGAGCCCTGCGTATAGCTCTGAGGACAGAATTTATTCCATAGTTTTCATCTAATGCTAATTTCCTTGGGCTAGATTAACAATTGCCTGTGAGATTCATATGTTCTAAAGTCAGAAGGGACCATCATGACCATCTAGTCTGCCCTTCTGCATAACATAGGCCACAGGATATATACAAATTAATTCCTGTTTGAACTACAACATATCTTTTAGAAAGCCATCCAATCTGGATTTAAAAGTTTCTAGTGCTGGAAAATCCACCATACTCCTTGGTAAACTGATCCAATGACTGTTCAAAATGTGCACCGCATTTCAAGTCTGAATTTGTCTAGCTTCAACTTCCAGCCATTTTGTCTGCTAGATTGCAGAGCTTTCTTATCAAATTGCTATGCCACATGTAGATACTTACAGACTGTGATCAGGTCGCCCCTTTCTCTTTCATAAACTAAGCAGGATTGAGCTCCTTCAGTCTCTCATAAGTAAGATTGATCAAAACAGTGGGAAACATTCTCATGTCATTTTTCTGACCCTCTTCAGTTTTTCAACATCCTCCGTCAAGTGTGGACACCAAAACTGAACATAGTATTTCAGTAGAGGTCTCACCAGTGCCAAATACAGGGGTATTCTAACTTCTCTACTCCTGCTTGCTATTCCCCTATTTATGCATCCAAGGATTTATTAGCCTTTTTGGCCACAGCATCACACAAGGAACTAACATTTAGCATTTTAGCCAGCATGACACCCTAGTCTTTTTCAGAGTCACTATTTCCCAGGATAGCGACTCCCATCCTTTTAGTATGGCCTATGTTCATTGCTTCTAGAAGTATGACATTGTTGGTCATATTGCAATGCATATTGTTTGTTTGCTCACATTTTACCATGCAATCCAGAGTACTCTATATCAGTGACCTGTCCTCTTCATCGTTTACTATTCCCCAAATCTTTGTGTCATCTGCAAACTTTCAGTGATGATTTTGTTTTCTTCCAGGTCATTGATAAAATATTAAATATCGTAGGGCCAAGAACCAATCCCTGAGGGACCTCATTAGAAACACACCTGCTTGATGATGATTCCCCATTTACAATTACATTTTGAGACCTATCAGTTAACCAGTTTTTAATCCATTGAATGAATGCCAGTGCTGATTTTTGTCTCATTCCAGTTTCTTAATCAAAATGCTGTGTGGTACCTAGTCAAATGCCTTAGAGAAGTCCAAGTATATTACATCAACACTATTAGCTTTTATCAACCAAACTTGTAATCTCAGCAAAAAATATCAGGTTAGTTTGAGATCTATTTTCCATAAACCCGTGTCGATTGGCATTAATTATATTGCCCCCTCACCCTTAATTCTTTATTAATCAAGTCCTGTGTCATCCATCCCATTATTTTCCTTAGCATCAATGTCAGGCTGACAGGCCTATAACTATCTGGATCATCCCATTTAACCTTTTAAAATTTTGGCATAACATTAGGTTTCTTCCAGTCCTCTGGATTTTTCCCACTGTTCCAAGATGTATTGAAAATCAACATTAACAATCCAGAGAGCTCATGAGTCAGCTCTTAACTTGCATTCAGGAGGAGTTGTTTTTTAATCTGGAGCTGCTGGTTTAAAAATGTCTGTCTTTATTAGCTACTGTTTAATATCCTCCTGTGTTATTGTTGGGATGGAAAGTATTTCATCCTCATCCTCATGATATGAATACATCATCTAGCTTTTACCCAAACACAGAACAGAAATATTTACTAAATGCTTCTGCCTTTTCTGCATTATTGACAATTCTACCATTTCCATCTAGTAATGGACCAATTCCATTGTTAGAATTCCTTTTGTTCTTCGTCTACTTTAAACGCCTTCTTTATTGTCCCTAAATCAGCAGGTCATTGATTTCTCTTTGTGGACTTTTGCTTCCCTGATCAATTTTCTACAATTCCTAGTTTCTCATTTATATTCACGCTATAAACTTCTCCGTTTTTCCATTTATTATATTTTTAAAGCTGGTTTTACTTCCCCTCTAAGCCAGGTTGTTTTGTGTTTTTGTTTCAACCTATATAACCTTTCTCAATTGTGGATTTTGAGTGCATTTTAATCAAATAATCTTTAAAAGTTCTCAGTTACCATTCACATTTTTCTATTCAGTTTCTCTCATGTGATTTTGGCTCATGATCACTTTCAGCTTCACAAAATTAGCCCTTTTAAAGCACTGTGTAAAAATATCACTGGTTGGACTTGATTCTGTTTACACACAAAAAATGATCATTTGCCACCTAAGCACCCACAAAAATTTTTTACTTCTGTAATCAATTCCCCTTTCTCTGTGAAGACAAAGTTTAATATAGAATTCTCCTGTGTTGGATGAATCTTCCCACCAGGTTTCAGTATACCAACAAGGTTGACTTTGCACTTATAAATTAACAATTCAAAACAATTCCCTTTGTTACCCAGGCTCCTAGCTTTGTTACATACGAAATTAGAGAATTTTTTTTCACATCCCTTGGTGCCTTAATTCCTTCCGTTCTCAACATCATGATTTAGTTTTAAATAAGTGCTTATTTGTTCCCCTTTTTTCACCCACCCCTCTTGTTGTCGTTTGTTTAATGCCTTTCTGACTACACTGGACAGCCAATCCCCTAGAAGATTGGTTCCCCTTCTTCCGAGAAGGAGGGCATCCTAGCTCTGTCCCCCTCTCCCCACAAGAGGTGGACCAATGTTCCACAAAACCCAAACCCTCTACTTTACACGACTTACTCACCCAGCTGTTCATTTCCAGAATCTTCCGCCTTCTGTCTTCCTTCACTCATGGGACAGGAAAGCTCTGTTAGAAGATCACTTGGACGTTCTTTTTCTTCGGCAACCTTCAGAGTTCCCTGAAGTCATCTCTGTTCTCTGAGGTATCCTGCAAAGCATTGTCATTAGTGCTGACACGCATCCATCACCAGTGGTGCCTGGCCTATTGACTTCAGATCCCTAACCGATCTTGGAGTGACATCCTGTGTCTTGTCTCCACGAAGACAGCACACCATCCTGTTGTCTCTTGCAGAATGTTCTTCCCATTCTTCTTAGTACAGAATCCGCCAACAAGGATCATCAGTCTTCCTTGGACAGTAGGAGCTCTCTTTGTGTACACACTTCCCTTTTCTTTTAGGTTGGTTTGAGAAGCCATTAGCAGGTATGTCCCATACAACTCTCCATTCCATTCATCCAGCTTGATCATCAGAGATGTTTTCTGCAGTTTCCAGCCTGAGAACATAACGAGTGGCTACATCTAGCTTTGTGCTGTTCTTCCTAGTCCTCTTCTCTCTAGTAGTCACAGCCTGCCCTTCCACTTTTGCTTCCAGCTATGTAGAATGCCACCTGGTCCTCTTGCCTCTGGTGACTATGAACAGCCAAGTTTCCTCTAGTTTCCACTTTTTCTGGTTCCTTGGAGACCGGTTCCTTTCTGGACTTTGAAATTGTGATGCTTCCTGGATCTGATTCTCCAAAAACACCTCAGTCTTTCTGGTGCTCCACAGTGTCTGTAATTGTCCTTCCAGACCACGAATCTTTTCTTACAGCACAGCCACCAGTTTGCATGTCATACAGAGAAAGTCCCTTCCGGCTTTGGGCAGGAAAGAAAACATGGTGTGTCCACTGCATTCGCAACCACTATTTCATTGCTGGCCATAAGAAAGTATGTAATATTCAGTTTAAGGCACAGAGACTGTAACTAACCAACAGTTACCGAATCAAAAGATGCATTTTGGTTCATGTAAGAGAAAATTGTCACATGGTTGCATTTTAATTCTTAGTCCACTTATCATAGTGTGAACACGGGGAAAAAAATCAGCAAAAAATAGCAGAAGCCAGGAAACTGCATTCAACAACATCTGTTCACTTCTGCCTGCTCTGTTGCTGTTAGTCCCTCCGTTCCACGCACAGCAAAGACAAGTTCACTCTAACAAAAAAGTTTGTGGCAAAGATGTACATTCTCCCTTCTGAATGAGTGGGAGTCTCTGAAATTTCTGCTTTTAGAAAGCACAAGTCTTACTGCACCTTCCAAGGAGCCCAAGTGGTTCCTCATACTGCAGAAGCAGTCACGAGTAAAGTGAACTCTCATTATATATCACAGGAGATCACTACTTCCTTTTAATTTGCCTGAGTTGCTAAAATTTACCATAGTAGCGCAGAGCAGTCCAGGAAAACATCACCTTTTATTTGTTTCCTTTCACCCTACATGCCTGGCCCTGAAAATCCTAAACCTTCCAGAGCCAAGTGGACAAGTATTGCTGCAGCTTACACATCTGTGACAAACTTGTCCAAGAAGGAATCAGAGCCCATTCAACATGCGCCACAATGACATCCTGGGCAGAAACAGAATCTGCTGCTACAGAAGAAATTTCTAATCCACTTGGTCATCCATTAACTCATTGAGAAAACACTCCAGGCTTAGCCTTCATTCCTCTGTAGAAGCACCCTTCATCAGGAACATTCTCCATAAAGTCCCTTAAAAGTCTCACTATATTAATTTTTAAGGAAATCCTTTCCATCTTACATATCTCCTAGTCCCTACTATTTCCTTACTGTTCTCTATGTCCTAAATGTCCCCAGTTCAGGTAAAGATCATGGTCCAGGATGGAACATTTGTTACCTGATTATTTTCTTTCTGGTAGTCCTATTTTACCACCCTGATTCCCCTCGCGCCACCCCAAACAATTCTCTGCATGTATAAAGTCCATCTTTGATCATCTCTACGGAGTCCATATGGGTAGTGAATATGATTTAACAGGTGTTATGGTAACATCCTAATAAGAATTTAGTCTTTCAAAACAGTGCTGGAACTATTCATCCAGAATGAGGGCAGCAGGGGTGTGTGTGACCAAACTTCAGAGCCTCCTGAATGCATCTGAGATGCTATCAGTATTTACAGGAAGAGAGGTGCAATCCAAATATCCTGGACTGAGCAAGAGGGCAATCCTAAAAGGTAATCCTTAGGTAACACATTTTTTTCACTGACCTGAAAACAAAATGGAAGTCAATGCAGATCACAGAGTACAATGAATCCATACCCAAACCCTCTGGGCATTCTAGTTATAGCAATCCTACCTCTGTGTTGTCTGAGTCCAGAGACTCTTTATGAGTGCTTTCTCTGCAGATGTTGATCCTGCCCTGTTCTATCTTCTCTACCAATATACTTGTACTGTAAGTGAGGAGCAAAAGCTACATTAATCTGCACTTTTTTGGGAAAAACATTATGATCGTATTCTGCCTTTGGATGTTGCACATGGAGCTTCCTTTAAAGTCTTGGGAACTGCTTCTGCATATTACTCCTGAGGGAATTCTGTACCAAAAAATTAAAAATTCTGCACCCCAAAAAAATTCTGCACACAATATTTTAAAATTCTGCAAATTTTATTTGTCAGTAAACAAATGTGGAGGCTCCAGCATGGCAGTGGGGAGCACAAGCCATTGGCTGCACAGAGGTGGGAGATCACCCTGCAGCCCCCGCAGGACACAGACGTGGCAGTGAAGCGGCACCTGACCCTGACACAGCACAAAAGCCAGGTCTGCCCCAGACCTGCCCTCCACACCAGGCGCACCAGGTGTGGGGCAGGTAGGTTCATAGAGGGGCTTGGTGTGGGGTGAGACAGTTCTGTGTGGGGCAATCTGTGTGCAGGCAGTTTGGTGCAGGGGGATTTGGAGGTTCTGGGTGCAGGGGTAATGGGACTCTGCAGAGGGGTCCAGGTGAAGATGGTTGGGGCTCAGGAGGGGGGGTCTGGGTATGAGGGGATGGTGCTCAGTGGGGCATCAGGTGTGTGGGGTTCAGCAGGGGTGTCTGGGTGCTGGCGGAGTGGGGCTTGGTGGGATGGGAGTTTGTGTGGAGGGCCCAGTGAGGGGATGCAGGGGGTGAGACTCAGTGGAGTGGGGGTTTGGGTGTGGGGAGGCTCATTGGGGAGGTTCTGGGTGCGGGCAGGTGAGGCTCAACAGTGGAGTCTGGGTATGGGGGGGTCCAGATGTATGGGTGGCGGATGGGGAGCAGCTCCCCATATAGTGATCCCTCTCCCAGCAGCTGACGAGCAATGGGGCAGGAAGTGTGTGATGGGGGCAGAGCTTCCTACAGCCAGGGAAGGTTTCTGGTGGTGTGTCTGACCTGGCCACGGCTGCTCCTTGCAGGGGAAGAGGAAGTCCCTTCCTTCCCCATCCCCAGTCCAGCTAGGACTAGCAGCTGGGACCGGTGCAGGGTAAGAACCACCAGCCAGGGCATCCCCAGCCCCTGCTGTGATTTACCTCTCTGCCAACTGCTCTGGGTGCCTGAAACAATGCATCTGCTCTGCTGGGGAGGGGTGCGTGACCACTCTTGCTGCTTTCCTTTGCTTCCCAGTCAGAAAGTCATTTTTCTGCAGGGAAGCAAAGAAATCTTCGGGGGATGTGAATTCTGCACACGTTCAGTGGTGCAGAATTCCCCCAGGAGTAGCATATGCAAGGTCAGAACTTGCTTTTAAATGCCTTGTTGAATAATGCACAGAAATAGGTTAATGAAATTGTAAGGGACTGCGGAAGACTCTGTGACGGCCTAGTTAGGGAAGAACGCTTTCTCGTGCAGACGGTTACTATCTGTCAGTGTCGGACATGAGGAACCGGTCGAAACCGGTCCTCAACCGGCCTTGACTGCCTCGTGTGGCCCCTTGCCAGTAAAGGAGCACAACCCCTCAGTAATTATACATGAGCTGATAATGTTAAGTGTATATTAATGCTTGCTATCCGCCCCTTCGTTGGACTCCGTCCCAGGCATTGCTCCGGTGCGCTGGGCTCTCTGCCTCCGTGACAGCAACGCTTGCAGTCCCTGTTGCGGGTGTGTCACTTGCCTTCAATAAAGCCGATTATTCGCTGCTTTGCCGCGTTTAAGCCTCGCTTTTTTGGAGCACCCCTGCCAGGCCTCCCAGGCCTAGAACAGAACAGAAATATTTTGGGCTTCCCTGTGTTTTAATTTAACATCTGTGCAGGAAAGGAAAAGGAAAGCAACATATGTGATGTATTTTTGCACTTTGTATGTTGCTACACCAACCAGTTAGTGGTTAGTTTGTAAGGCGAGTTCTTCCCTGGCAGTTCAGAATGGACTGCACTCTGTGCCAATACACTGATCTTCAATTTGGTGGGATGACTTGCGTCTATAATAAACCTCTGACTTCTCAATTGGAAATGGGTCGGCATGTGGGGGAGTGCCCCATGAACATCCACAGCCGGATGCAACATGAGGCCTTGATCCTCCAAATCCTTATTTACCCTAATAATCTGATTGACTTCTAGGGTAGTACAAGTTTGCTGAATCAGGCCTGTAGGGTAATTTTCCTGAAACAATCAAAGGGAAGAGTGGGCCAGGCCTCCCCTTCCCTCCAGGAACATGATAGAGAGCTGCACTTCAGTCAGTTTTGGTTTCTGAACTAAAGGAAAACAGAAATATTAGCAACGCACCAACCTGTGGGGTCACATGCCCTCCCACCAGACTTCTGTGTGTGCTGAGCTTCCCTTGCAGGGCTTGCTCTGCTCAGCCTGCCAGGAGGAAGGGCGGCTTTGTCCTTCTCCCTCTGTTTTCCCCTAGGCCAGTTTCAGCTCACTTAGCCGCTCCCCCTGACAGCCGGGCCAGATGGAGCCACCACTTCTGCTGGGTGACTGTGGCTGCTCTGGGTGGCTACCTCTGTGCAACATGGTGGCTGTTTGCGAGAGCCTGGCTGGGGAGGCGGAGGTAGCCTGCCCCCTCTACTCCCAACCCAGGCCCAGCCGCTGGGGAGAGGGGACGAATGAACTGGAGCCTCCACCCCCGGTACATGTCCGACTCGCTTGGCCCCTGTCTTTGGCAGCCAGGCCCAGGTCGGGAGTGGGCCACCACTGCCTCCCTAGCCAGGCTCTTTCGCAGGCAGCTCCCACACTGCACAGAGGCAGACACCTGGGGAGTAGGGTTGCCAGCGCTCCAGGATTGTCCTAGAGTCTCCAGGAATTAAAGATTAACCTTTAATTAAAGATTATGTCATGTGATGAAATCTCCAAGAATACGTCCAACTAAAATTGGCAGCCCTACCAGGGCAGCCACTCTCACCTGGCGTGAGAAACAGCTCTGTCCTGCCCCCTCCACTCCCGCCTGGAAATATGCTTGGGAGTGGGAGATGCAGCAGGAGAAGGGCAGAACCTCTCCTTGCAGGAAACTTCGGTGGGGAGAGCGCAGTGGACCAAGGCAGGGCGCAGAGTCACAAGGGAAGGCGCTGGGAACAGATTCCCTCTGCTCAGGCCAAGTTAAGGGCTTTGCCTGCACCCATCCCGCTGCTGAGGTGTCCATGAGGACACAGGCACTCCGGAGTCCAGGGAGAAACTGTGTTGTTGTGAGCCCTCCGCCCTGCCCCCCTGGCTGGTGGAATTGGCTGCCTTGGCCTAGGGAGGTGGGGCTAGAAGTTTCCTCCCAGAGATGAAGTGGAATAAATAGCCCCCCCCCTTACATTTTGCCTCCCCCTCACCCCCCAAATATCAGCAGGTACAAGTCATCTCTGCAGAGGGGCCCTGCAGAAAAAAGTAACAGACTGGTGCTGTTTTACCTTTCACTAATAATCTAGGTAGGGTTAATTGGGTGATGATGTGTGTCCTACCAACCTCCAATACCTCCTCCCCCATACCAGGCTGCTATTAACAGATAGCAATGGAGTCCTTTGAAAGCCAGCAGCCTGGTCACTTAGAACACCCAGGGCCTGGAAGTAGTTGGACCAGGAGGGACTTTGGTAGTTTGGGTTAGGAAAGGTAGAAGGGATCACTTGCACCTGTAGAGCCTGATGAGCTAATGCCCCGACCAGCTGGATACCTGTGAGAGGAAAGCAAACACTATAAAAAGCTGAGCTAGAAAGAAGGAAAGGGGGTTTCACATGACTGAGGCTATGTTGTGACTTACCTGGAGCACAAAAAGAAATATAGGCACCCAGGGGAGGACCCTGCTGGACTGTGTGTATTGCTTAATTCACAAAGAGGGCTTACCAGCCAGGACTTCTAGGAGATGAAGGAAGAGCTTGTTCCTAAGTGGGGGCTTGTCTGGGATCTACTTGTCAGCCAGAACCAGGAAGGGTTGGTAGGTGGCCTGTGAGAGGCCAAGCTGAACCTGGAAGAGATGGAGAAGCTGATGTGGTGGCTGGTAGACCAACAGAAGGAGATGCCGAGGATGTTGCAGGCATTCCAGCAGACTGAGCGACAAGCTCTACTGGGATGGTAGGTGGAGCAACAGTGGGTGTTTCAGGAATTCACGAAGGAGCAGACCAAGGTACAACAGCAATTACAAAACATGATGAGGCCTGCTGGGGGAATGGAAGTTGAGGGGGGCTAGGACTCTCTAAAAGAGGCCCCAGGGGTGATCCCAATGTGTTCCAACTGATTTTTGAAAGAATTGCTACTAGTGAGTGCTGGGATAAAGGGTTATGGGCCCTACAATTAGCCCCTTATTTGGTGGGAGACACCCATGCCACTTACATGACTTTGAGCGAGAAGCAGGCCAAGAACTACGACGTGTTAAAGGCTGCTATATTGGACCCTGTTGGCTTGTCAGCTGAAATGTACCTACAGAAGTTTAGGGCAGCTAGGTGGACTTGAAGGGTATGGTCCAGGAGTTTAATGATTGGGCCAACCAATGGTTGAGGTCCAGGGGGCAAGATATCAAAGTGGTCATGAATGCTGTGATATTAGAGTGGTTTATGCAAATCCTCCCAGATACCACTAAGGTCTAGTGAGGCGACACAAACCAGAGATGATGGAGACAGTAGTAAAATTTGCCGAGGACTGTATGGAAGCAGAATTTCCAAGGAAAGTGGCTTGTCCTACACAAGCAGGGGAAGGGGTGAGATCCCTCAAACAGTAAGGCCTATGACTCAGAGAGACAAGAAGGGGGAAAAAAGGCCATTTTGTCCAGTTGGGCTATAACCTGCTACCAGTGCTGGGGAAAAGGCCACATTAAGCGGGACTATGTGTATATGGAACAAGGACTGGGGCATATTGTGGCTGGACTGGGAGAGAGTAAAAACAATGACCGTTAAGGTGGGCAGAAGGCCAGAGATGGGAGTTATTGATTCAGTGGCCAGTTGCTCATTTTTGCAGAGCAGGCTGGTTAAACTGCAGTGGTTTTGGGAGGGGAACACTCTAGGCATAGAGCGAATACATGGGGAAAAAAACACTTATCCGGTGGCAGTAGTCCCACTAGGGGAACATGGGAGGTTCTTGATGGAACAGGGTTGGGTAGTGGGAACGTGGTCCCATCTTGTTGTCATGGGACTGATTGGAACCCATGAAGGGAAGCCCAGTGGAAGAAACATCAATGGAGGGCAGAAAACAGAGTGAGTATGGCGGAGCATGGTATCCAAAGCCCACAAGAAGGGAGAGAACACTAGACAGAAACTAACAAGCCAAGAAAGTGGAGGCCAGGTAGGAAACACTGGGGCAGAAGAGAAGCTGGAGAAGGGGGTGAAGATGCAGTGGTCACCCATACAAGAACAACCCAAAAAGAGTGGGAGGTGAACCCAACTGCTAGTGGGCCCAGAGGAAGGGAAAGTCCCCAGGGGCTTAAGACTGAAGGGGAGCAGAGGCCATCAGATGGTGTGTTGCTGGCAAGGAAGGATGTCATGGCTTGCTCTACAAAGGATAGGATAGATCCATGGCAAAAGGCTGTGGGTTGTCCCTGATGTGATGGCCTGTGGGAGGAAATGGAATTGTGGGGTAGACCCCCCCTCAACTAAAGAGTGCTTATTCTGTGGATGGAGAATAGGAAACCATCAGCGTCCATGGAAAGGAAGACTAAAGGAACTCAGAGGTGATGAGAGATCGCTGCCCCCATAAGGAAAGTAGAGCATGATCAAGGAGAAAACTGATCCCGCAGTGGAAAAGAGGGGGCTGTAGCCAAGCTGGGACACCTAAAGTGGGGAGGTATGTAACAGGGTGCTATTAGTAGCTATAAACTGAGCCCTTTGGAAACCAGCTCCCTGGTCACTTACAGCACCCAGGGCACTATATGATCTGAGTAGAAGGGACTTAGGTAGTTTGAGTTTGGAAGGGTAGAAGGGATCATTTGCACTTGTACAGAGCCTCATGAGCTAACGAGGTAAATAGCCCACCAGCTGGGTAGCTGTGAGAAAAAGCAAACTCAAAAAGGCTGAGCCAGGGAGTAGGAAAGGGGGCATCACATAACTGCTGCTATGTTCTGATGTATCTGAAGCATAAAGAGCAATCAAAGCCATGTGGTGGAGGAGCCCTGCTGGACTGTGTGTGCTGCTTAATTCTTAGAGAGAGCTTACCAGCCAGGGTTTCCCAGCTCAGGCCGGCCCATTCCCTGCCTTTGGTGTTCCAGCTCCACCTTCCACCCCACACAAGAGCCACAAACATGGTCATATCACGATGGTGCAGTCTGGCTGTGTGACACCTCCTGCCTTTGGTAAGCAGTTTGCTGACACAGACTGTACCACTTCAGCAACAATAGTATTCCATGTTCTTCCTGGGCTATGGCAATGCATGTTCCAAAAACTGCACAGGGAAAAGCAATTCTAAGTAGCACAAAATAACATCCCTTTTTACATGCTTGTAAAAATAATGGGGCATCCATCCTTCCCATACTATAACTGACCCTCAACTACTGCTTGAGGATTATAAGCAGGCCACCCTTTCCTATTAGCTTTGTTACGAAAGCCTGTAGTAGGAGCTATGGTGGACAGCACTCATTTTCCCATTTAGCTAATGAGCTGAGGAGGGCCATGATGGAGTTCAAACCAAAGTTCTATGTCTCAGTTGCTTCTTCTGCCAGGACTCTTACCACTGGTGCCAAAGATTCTTCATAAGATCTATAGCAGGGGTCGGCAACCTATGGCATATGTGCCAAAGACGGCCCGCGAGCCGATTTTTAATGGCACGCTGCTGCCTGCCGGGTCCCGGCCACCGGCCCCGCTCAGCACGCTGCCGAAGCCAGGCCAGGACCCCGGCAGGCAGCAGCATGCCATTAAAAACCCTGCCCACCCTGGCCCGCTCTTCTCCGCCCCCTCCCAGGCAGGATGAAGAAGCTTGGTCCTGGCGGCTGCTGCTGCAGGGCAGGCAAGCTCCCCGACTCCCCTGCCTCTTCTTCCAACGTGCTGGGTTCCTGCCACTGATCAACTGATGGCCCTTGTGAGGGAGAGGGAGAAGTGGAACAGCATGTTCCTGCTCCGGGGAGGAGGTGGAGAAGAGGTGGGGACGGGGCCTTGGGGAAGGGGGTGGAATCCGGGCATATCCCCTCCAGCTCCCTACTGTGAGCTGCTCTGAGCAGGGGGATGGGAGCACCCCCACCACCCCAGCCCACACACCCAGCCCTCTGCCCTGACCCTTATATTCCCCTCACACACACCCAGCCCTCTGCCCTGATCCCTGCACCCTCCTTACAGACACCCAACCTCCTGCCCTGACCCCTGCACCCCCCACGACCCCAGCCCTGACTCCTGCACCCCCCCACCCATACCCAGCCCCCTCATACCCCATGTCCTGACTCTTGCACCCCCCACATTCCCACCCCCACCCTGAGCACCAAACAGGAGCTCCTGCACCCTCCCACGTTTCCACCTGCATCCCTCACACCAAATGGAAGCTGCCCAGGTAAGCACTCCACGCCCAAACCTCTTGCCCCAACCCTGAGCCCCAACCCTGAACCCCAACCCTAGGCCAGACCCTGCACCCCAACCCCCAGCCTGCTTCTTCACCCTCAGCCCTGTGCTCAGTGCACTCCCACCCTCAGCTCAGTGCAGAGAGAGAGGAAGAGAATGGGCTAGAACCAGGGAGAAGGTAGGTACCCACTCTATGTGGGCAGGGCTGGGATCCCAGACCGGCAGCGGGCTGAGCTGGGCTGGTAGCTGGAACCCTGGCTGGCAGGAGCTGGCGGACTGAACCTCAGACCAGCAGCGGGCTGAGCCGCTTAGCCCACTGCCAGTCTGGGGTCCTGGCCACCAGCCCCGCTCAGCCTGTTGCCGGTCTGGGGTTCTGGCTGCCAGTCCCTTGCCAGCCAGGGTCCTGGCCGCAGGCCCCCACTCAGCCCACTGCCGGCCTAGGTGAACGGAACCCTAGACTGCTGGCCTAGGTGAATGAACCCCAGGCTGAACGGGCCGGTGGTATAAGATCAGCATTTTAATTTAATTTTAAATGAAGCTTCTTAAACATTTTGAAAACCTTGTTTACTTTACATATGACAATAGTTTAGTTATATAATATATAGACTTATAGAGAGAGAGACCTTCTAAAAAATGTTACAATGTATCACTGGCATGTGAAACCTTAAATTAAAGTGAATAAATGAAGACTCGGCACACCACTTCTGAAAGGTTGCCGACCCCTGGTCTATAGAGAAATGGCAGCATGCTGCTCTTTTGCATCCCCAAATAGACCATTCCAGTTTAAACACGCATTCTCCCACATGAAAGAGAAATGCAAATTAATACTTTAATAGTTGGGCACCTGGATTCCTCCTTTGAAAACACTGGACATTGGCCATGTCCAAAGTAGGATATTAGACAAGATGGATGATGGTCTCATTTGATATTTCCCGTGCCTTACATAATGCTATCTGAGATTTGGTTGCAGTCCTGCAAAATACAGTGGAAAAGATCAGGCCGGAGACTCCTATCCAGCCCGCCAGAAGACACTAAGTAGTGAATCATACATATTACACAAAGCAACTGCTAATGCGCAAATTCATTTTTTTTCTTAAAGGAAAAAATAATCCTGCCACTATCTGTGTAAACTGGCACCTACTTTTAGGTCAATTATGATGCTATTGTTTGAACACCACTCTCTATAAACACTGACATACTTAATTCACTGAGCACTGGTTGGGTCTGTTAGCTCTGAACCAATAAATGCACTGTGTATTAATAAGATCTCTTGTAAATGATCTCAGGATTTCAAGAAATTTCTATTTAAATAGTTAATGTGTCTTTAAAATAGGTCAGATGATGTACAGTGGCAGTACAGATCAAGTATAGTAATAGAATCTCTTTCCATGCATGATTTTGTCAAAAGGCTGCTGCTAATAGATCTATCTAATCTGTTAGTCAAAAAACAAAACAAACCCCTTATTTGCAAATATTTTAGCTAATATAAGTGCTG